CAGCTAAAGACAGTCTTGGTTAGTTTCCATACAGTAAAGATTGCTTTAATAATGAAAAGATGCCCCGAACTATGGCTGCAACCATTGCTTATTTTAATACTCAACTAATTGTTGATTGTATGTTCAGTTAATCGGATAAAAAAATAAAAATGTCCAAATCGATACATAAAACAAGGTGGCTACTCTTGTGTTTGATGAAATTGATATTAAACAATGAATAACTGTTCTTAAAACAAGAAACTTTATCTTGATGAGAATGTTATTTAATCTTTTTATATTCATTTAATGTGTAATCAAATCCATCATTCCATTTAATAAACTGCTTCAACACAAGCTGAACTTTATTTAAAAACCACTCACTAAATTTCCATGTTTTTCGTATTTATTCTACTATTTTTTTCAATTTTCTTTAGTCTTAATAAGGATACCTTTTTGTTTTTGTTTTTTCTGGGGGGCATATTTAAAATTTTGAGGCTCTCCTCTAAAGATGCTTTGATATTTTTCTGTTGGTAATCCTATTTTGTGTCTTCCTTTAATATTTGCATTCAGACCTAATGTAGCAACTAAATTGAATTATAGCTTCATAATGACAACAGAGTCGATTTTTGAAAAACTAGTCCACAGCCCTATTCCTACTCCCATTGGTGCAGGCTATGTACTCAGACTTTGTCAGCAAATCAAATTTATCATAAATAAATTGGAATAAAATTGTATTCAGACTGAAAGAGATATTTATGCTGATTTGATCAGCATCCATCTTAAAATTTGGCCAGATTTTGATTGGGGCAAACTAACCTCACTCTACCTCCATACGAGCATCACAGCAGTAATTTCCTCCCATATTCTCATCCTGTAACCCAGAAACTGCCTCACTGTGAAAGGCAGAAGTGGAGTTCTTTAAAGGGGCATTTTAAATACCTTTTATTCTGAGCAAATTTCAATCAGATCAGTCAAATTTAGCTCATGTAAACATGTAAACATATCTACTGCCTTCAAACAGCTAGCATTAGACATCAGCATCAGTTGAGCTGTCAGGCTAATGTCAAGGCTCAAGATTTCCTCACTTTTAAACGGAGCAAACATTGGAAAATATAGTGACTCACTGTTGCTGAGCTTCTTTTATCCTCACTGATGATTGTTGTTTCTAGTCTGGCCAGTCAGACGGGGCAGTGTGGGAGGAGAACCCATAATGCAAAATTTCTTATACCATACCAGTAAAGACTGCAGCTGCAACAGAGCAATGTTTTATTGATGTCCTTTATTATGTTTTATGATTATTATGTTTGTCATTTTTTTATATGTTTGTTTTTATATGATATCCGTTGTTCTCTGATTGGCTCTAAGCTTTTTCTTCTGACTCCGTTAGTGTTGCCTATAGATCAGGCTCTACCTGCTCCTTTCTAGACTATGTTGTAGGCGATGTCCTTTTCCAAAGCTTGAATGTTTCCCATTTTTTAGTTTGTTAAAAGTGCTCCCACTCATTTGAGGACTTTGTTCAAACCGTTTTCTTTGTCAGCCATTTGCAGAGTTTAGTTTTCTTAAACATCACCTCTGCTCTGTTCTGTTCTGGAAAAAGGCAAAAATTAAAACATGCAATAATATCTTAATTAGATTAGGTAAACAAAAAGGTAGTCAGACCTTAGTCTTATAACTTTTTTTTAAAGAATTACTCAACATTTCCATTGATTAATTTATCTCATCCCTGGGGCTGTATTTACTAAATTTCAGTGAACATTAGCTAATTGAATGTTTGGTCTTATTTGCTATAAGATTTCTATAAGTTAAAATGGGTCAAATGTGAAGCGTTCTTGAGTTGCGTTTTGGTGGCCAAACAGATTAGTTCCAATGACCACTAATGGTATGCGTGCCGCACTTTGGACACCACTGGTCTAATGATATTTTTAGTCTGGGTGTGAACTGCTGTTGGTGAGTAAATGTCCTCTAAACTTAAATGCTTCACCACCTCTGCATGTCTGAGGGAGAACTGTTTCATAAATGATATGTTGGACCTGGGAGCCAGCATGATTCATATTTCTATTTATGTGCTGAACCATGACAACAGTAATGGGACTGCTGCAAACGTGCCGGTTGAGCCACTATCCAGTAGATTAGCGAGGAAACACAGAGAATAGAAAGTAGGCTAAACATGTTTAACTAATGGGTCAGTGAGAGTATGGTGGGGTTCATGTGACAGAAATCAAGGTCTTTAGAAAAAGGTGGCAGACAGCTGTGTGTTCAGCAGCCACACAATCCAACAGGTGACTCTCTCTCCGCCTGATTCATTGTGCAGATTAGTTGGTGACTTTGAAGGTATTACATATAAAATGATTAAACACATTTGATGTTATTGCAGAGCTTTATGTCTGATTCCCCCAAATGATCAACTGCAGTCTGCTCTCTGACTCAACTTAAATCTTATCCCTGATTGGATGTTGTTAAATATTTTTAACTGTGAATTTGTTTAGTGTATTCATTAGACTTTACTGTGCTTGGGGTAATGTATGTAATTAGTGAGCCAGCAGAGGAGTATGGCTATGAAAAAAAATTGAAAGGTGGGCAGATGTTTTAGTTTGTGCAAATGTTTGTTTTTTAAATTCAGTAGAGTTTAACATTTTTTTTCTGTTAAATGTTTAGAGCAGGGGTCACCAATCTTTTTAACACTGAGGGCTACTTGATGGGTACTGAGTCATAGGATGGGCTAATTCTGACCTATGAACTGGAGGATTCAGAATTCACCTAAACTTCATAGATAACGAACATCCATCCATCCATCCATCCATCCATCCATCCATCCATCCATCCATCCATCCATCCATCCATCCATCCATCCATCCATCCATCCATCCATGTTGTCATTTTCAAATCCCTATAAATCCTTTAATGTTCAAAATTATTGATATGAAGAAATGCTCTATAAATTATAAAACATTAAAGGTATAGTGGCGAAAATTCTTTCAGGTTGGAGTTCTACCTCCTTTTATCAATAGTCATTCTGCAAAAAAATATATTTACATGTACTAATATCCACATTTAATGAATGTTTAAGTTATTATTAAAGTAGGTATTTATCTCTGATTTCACTGAAGACTCCTAGTTGACTTGCAGAGACGTGTAATTTTATCTTTACCCCCCAAATAATTCAAAATTTTGTTTCGAAAAGAGCATGAATTGTGTATTTATCATCTTTAATGTTAGTACATTGATTTGCATGTGCATTAGCCACAGTGTTTCTCTTGTAAAGTAATTGTTAATATACGAAAAATGTAAATGTTTAAGTTTAAACATTCCCCTTCAGAGTATTACTACTGCCACTGTCTGTATTAGAGGGGGAAAATGGTAGGGGTGTCCACAGTGGGGGCCAATGATTGGCTAACAAAAACAAGTCAAAATAATGGATGCTGTAAACTTAAGTTTCTTGCATTTATTAATTTTTATTTATTAAAATTCATCATAATGATGGTAGAAATTTCGGAAATTATTATTTGTTTCCAGTTATAGTCATACTTGTGTTTAGTGTCATTAGGAAGAATGAGTCTGATGTAAGGTGGAGCTCTAGTATCCGGCCGTTGCCCTGATCCCATCCCACTTTATAGGGATGCAAATAGTGACTCTGCTGTATTCGTTTAGCAGGTCAAGCCGTCTGTAGACTCGGAGTGTGCGCAGGATGATTTCAGAAAGCATTTGCATGAGGCTTGCAAAGCTGGGTATGAACTCAATTGTTTAGTAGGTCAGAAAGTCAGGGAGAGTCTCTGAATGTGGAAAAACCAAACCTTAAAACAGTCTTCTGCTCACCCATGTTCATTTGTAGAAGAGTCCAACAATCCTAGAAGTTCCGACTCAATCAGGTTTTTTTTTTCTTTCTTTTTTTTCCTAGTTGAAACAGAAAAAGTTATGACAACTTTTAAAGGTATAGTTTAGAATTTTTGTGAATTTTTGAAAGTACCTGCTACTCGTTGGTTTACAACGAGCGAAGCTGCCTAGCAAAGACGCATCATGGCAACAAGCAATCACTCATTGAAACGTCGAGATTGTTCATACGGTAGGGTGACAAGATGTTCTCTTTTTCCCGGACATCTCCTACTTTTTTATACCTAAAAAATAAATACTAAAAAAATAAAATGTCCAGGGGAATTTCAAAATCGTCCGGGACTTTTGCAAACTACAACGCAGCAGAACCGAGCCGTCAGCTCTGGGGCTGGTCGGGTGCAGGGAGGCAGCGGGGGATGGAGCAACTGAACCCGACCCGGTGGCGGTAGCGGTAGCCTGGACAACGCTTTCAAAGCTTTCTTTCTAGAAAACCAGTTTAATCAAGAGCTGCTTTGAGTAAAGCATTATTTTTTTCCCTTTTTAGTGACTTAAATCTTTTAAAATATTCTTGTAAAATTGTGATTTTTATTCAAAACTATTTTGCTTCATTCTGAAAAACAGTCGAAGTGGTTTTATTTTTATTTTTTTTGCTTTTTGTTTAGATAACAAAAAGCGTCATACTCCAGTTGCTCGATAGAAAGACATTAATACTGATTAATTATGTATTTGTCTACTTATCCAAACTCTTATTGTCATAGCAACATTCCTCTTATAGTACTGCTTGTTTTTTCTCTTACATCCTGCTGGCCTAGAGGAGGTTGAACACAATAACATCCAGGCACTGGATGGTAGGATATACTTGTGAGCAGTCTACAGATTCTTGGTCAGTTTGATCCCATAAATCTGATTTTGTTTTCCAGATAAATAAAATGATAAAGAAGTGGCTTCTTTATTCCATCAGTTTTTCTCAGAAAGTGCAATGGGCTCTCGTCTGAGGCCTCTCTGTGGAGAACATTGACAGGTTTGGGTTGCAGCCAGTGTCTCCCTGCTTGAATGGCACTAGAGAAGGCATGCTGACTGATCAGAATCTGTCTCTTCCTCCTCTCTCTGCCTCTTCCTCACCCTCTCTCAGTGATGGCGCTGTTGGGGCAGCTGCAGTATTGACTAATGGACTGTTACTTTGTGTTTTGCAGATGTCTGTGTGCGGTAGCTGAGGACGGCACAGGGAGTCTCCCCCCACCCTGCAAATATGAATGGTAAGACCTCTGCAGTTTGTGTGTTAAAAAAGTGATAAAGGAATGAGTGTGTTGCTAAGCTGAGGCATTGTGCTGGAGTCGTACAGAGGCCAACACATATACACTTTTAAATGTTGCCGTTTTAATATTTCTTGCTCTACTTTTTTGTAAGTAATTTATGTTTCTATGTTTTACTAAAAGTGTTTCTGTTTCAGTGTTTAGCCAACCTTGCTGGTATAATGATAGTGAAAGGTATCAGCTTATCACAGCGCTTCATTATCAGTCTGTCAATACACCAGAACATTCTCAGCTCATGACTCTGTCTGATGTTAGCCTCTGTTCTGCTTTATCTATGCATCTTCTGTGTGGACACTTGTCTCTGTTTGTTGGTAGTCTTTAATCCTTATTTCTTTTAAAGTAGAGTTTTCTTTCTGCTGAAGCAGTACTTAAAACATGGATGCCTATGCTCTCTGATTTAGGCCTCTGTTCATGATTTATGGAGAATAACAACCTTTGTCTTGTTCAAGGATCTCAGCAATCCCGTTTTTCTCTGTTGACATGAAAGTGCTTTTTTTTTTTTCCTCCAGTAGCTGGATAGATGGCTCATTATGTTTGCCATGCACAAGAAACAGAAGGACATTATCCACAAGCCATGTTTTTATTCTAACATTCATCAACATGTTCACATATAACATTTTTTCTTAGTATGCTGCAGCCCTTCCTGAACTTATAAATGCTTAGAATTGTGTTTCACTGAAAGAAGTGTTTTTTTGATTCAGAAATTTTACTTTTAAAGTCGTAGGGAAGTTATATTTAAATGTCAAATCATTCTGGCGAAAACATGTATATAAATGTACTCTTTATCAGACCATATTGTCCCAAAATGTAGAAAATGTTTATTTAAAAAAATATTCTGTATTAAAATCTTGTTTTGTTGTTGTTATCTTATGCAGGCCAGTTAGTTATACGTCAGCTTGTACACCTAAATTTGGCCAATCATATATCAACGGTCATCTGTCAATTAAATGTTTTCGGTTATAGCTTCTTGATTCATATGTCACAGCTAATATATGCAACGGTTGAAATAAGAAATAAGAATCATTTACTTTACCATTGAGTTATGTCCCAGTGTTCACCGTCCTCCTCTTGCATGTTTCTGTTTTCCATAGCGTTCCTTGACAGTGTTGTTTCTAATTCATCAATTTAGTGCTACTTGGTCCCAATGTCATTTCCCATTGGGAAGCTACTAGCACTAAGTTGCTAACTGGTTAGCAAGATGCCTCCGAGATACTGGCCACAACCAGACTTGCTTGCGAACCTTCCGCCACAACAATCCCGCCCCCTTGATAAAAGACCAATCACATTCACTTTATTCACTCGTGTAAAGTTGGGCACAACTCAGGAGAATTCAGAAATTCAACGGTTGGAACAGCCACTTCCCAACAACTTTAGGGCCAAAAAGTGGCCTTTGTAGTCACTACAGTTATTTAGCACTCCCTCAACAAGGGTAATCTCCCCCCCCCAAAAAAAAAAAGAAGGTTGTTGTTA